TACAGCATCAGCATCTATAACATCTCTTAATGAAATGAGAATAACGAATTACAACAACAAATAATTTCCCTTTGGGATTAATAAAGTATTTTTGAATTGAATTTAATTTGAATTTCCAAAACAGTTCAATCTGGTCCTCTGGACATTCAAAAAATCAAAACAAAGCAATAAAATGTAGAAACGTTTTGTCTCTCATCCGAGAGACTTCCTCAGTCTGAGGTGCTGTATTCAGCTCAGTCTCTTAAATAGAACCTTCTCAGAGTGGATCAACCAGTTTTGCTGCTGACAACCAAAACCAGCTGATCACATGCTCAAGAAGGACCATCAGCCTAACAATGGATCATTAGCACCTGATGGCTGTTTACTGTTCACAGAGGGCTGAGTGATACTAGCAATCACAGCACTGTAAGAGGGGGACAGTTGAACCTGGAGGCTCCACCCCTGTTTAATGATGGACGGTTTCTTTTCACAAAGATGGCCTCCTTTATTTTTATTTTCTAAACATAACGTCCCAGTGGTTTTTAAACCCCAAAATACATTAAAGACTGGTTCATCCCAAAGATCCAGTCCCCCGGCACAAACAGAGTAATGTTGTGTATGTTGTTCAGTGTCAGGAGGGTGATCAGTCTTACATCGGGGAAACTAAACAGCCACTGGCCAAAAGGATGGACCAGCACAGAAGATCAACATCATCAGGCCAGGACTCTGCGGTCTACACTCATCTCCAGGCCAGCGGTCACTCTTTCAAGGAGGAAGATGTTCACATCCTGGACAGAGAGGAACGATGGTTTGAGAGAGGAGTAAAGGAGGCCATCTTTGTGAAAAGAAACCGTCCATCGTTAAACAGGGGTGGAGGCCTCGGGGTTCACCTGTCCCCCTCTTACAATGCTGTTATTGCTAGTATCACTCAGCCCTCTGTGAACAGTAAACAGCCATCAGGTGCTAATGATCCATTGTTAGGCTGATGGTCCTTCTTGAGCATGTGAGCAGCTGGTTCTGGTTGTCAGCAGCAAACTGGTTGATCCACTCTGAGAAGGTGCTATTTAAGAGACTGAGCTGAATACAGCACCTCAGACTGAGGAAGTCCTCAGGATGAGAGACAAAACGTTTCTATATTTTTTTGCTTTGTTTTGTTTTTTGTTTTTTTGAATGTCCAGAGGACCAGATTGAACTTTTTTGAATTTTTCTACCTGGATTATTGAGCATGCATCAGGATATTAATTTGAATTTGAAGTTCGTGCAAAAACCAACTTGGACATGTTCCTGTTTTTAGTTTTCTACTCTCCTTATAATCTAGCTGTTTGGTGTGTTTTTTTTGCTACTGTTCCTCTTGATTGTCCTTTTGGCTGCTCTTCAGTTTTGATTTGTTAAAACAAAAGCTGCTTGTTTGATGTGTGTTGTCGTCCGTCTGTGTTCAACCAGGTCTCTGTTGTAAAGGAGTCCCTGAGGCTCCGTGCGATGAACCTGTCTGAACAAAGGCTGAATGAATTTACATGACCAGCTACATGAGTTTTGTGAAATGGGTTTCAAAAGTAAATGTGAACTTTTCAACTAGAAATCCAAGAGAAATGTGGAAGTGTCTAATTGTCCTTGGTTCTTGTGTCCAGGTTTGAGTGGGACAAACTTCTGGAGAATGTGCATTGTTTGATCATAAGTGTGACAAAGACTGACAAGCAGGAAGCTTATATACTCAGGTGAGTGCTCACTAGTTTACCTTGGGGTGTGGTGTTTGCATCGTGGCATCACTTACTGTCCTGGAGGGTCACACAGCGTGTGCCTGTAGTTGGTTTACCATGAACGCTTCGTGTTTTCTTGTTTGTTGCAGTGAGAGTAGCATGTTCGTCTCCAAGAGACGTTTCATTTTGAAGACCTGTGGAACCACCCTCTTACTGCAAGCACTGGTGCCACTGCTGGAACTCGCCAGGGAGTACTGCGGCTTCGACACCATCGAGGTTACACGCACATCTGGAGCTCTTGGCAGATGTTGGTGTGGGCATCGTCAATTTAGCACCAACAACTTTGTTCTTGTTTTCTGGCAGAATTTCTTCTACTCCCGCAAGAACTTTATGAAGCCAACCCACCAAGAGTTCCCTCATCGAAACTTCCAGGAGGAAGTCGAGTTTCTCAGCCAGATTTTCCCAAGTACGATGAACTTCATTCATGTTTCCCTCGTTTAAGTATTTAATCAAAACTCTTTTTCTGTGCGTGACCTTGTTAAGCTGGAGAAGTTGGTGCTCACAGGGCTCGCCACAGTTTGATGGAGTAGTTTACTAGTTTCCAGGTTTAAAATGTGTGGAGGATGGGGATAAAATAAAACACAGTATGTACAAACTCTTTAAAGAACCCACCAGTAATGGATCAAATGACAAAGTGCTTGGCAAACTTAATATAAAGTATATTTGTGCAGATGTTTAAACTTATCCTGACGCTGCTCAATAATCCAGGTAGAAAAATGTAAAACAGTTCAATCTGGTCCTCTGGACATTAGACGAACAAAACATTTTGTTCTTGTTTTGTTGTTTGCATGTGCAGAGGACCAGATTGAGCTGTTTTCGATGTCCCTCATTTAATTGAGCCTTGTTTCTAAGTCTTGAGAAGGTGTTTGGCGGTCCTGAAGTCGCTTTGTGTTTAGTCTGTGGACCACGTAATAAAACCGTAAATCTTGCCAAACAATCTTGTTTTCCCAGAAGCATCGTACCCAGCATCTTCTGTGCACTTTATGTTGGATAAAAATGAGCTCTCTTCATTTTACTTACTCAAAGAAGCCACACTGGAAGACAGGAGGAGCTTTTAACTGGTTTTACTGGTTTTACCTTCAGGGGCAGACTCTCAGCAGCACACGCTCATGTACAGAAGTTTGCGTGCAGCCCAGTCACGGCACTGTGCCAGGGTTTTCATAAACTTCTTGGCTCTCAGGCAGACACTGATGACCTCGGCCACCCAGCTGCACATGCACGATCGTCAGCTCTGAGAGACTCGAGGACCTCTGTAACTCAAACACATGGTTCATGGGCAGTTAACGTTCTCAGCACAGTAGTTTAAAACATCCATAAACCTTGATAAAGTGTGGAGTGTCAAACTGTATGAAGTGAGGTGTGCACGTTGTCCTTGTGTTAAAGTTTAACCAGCTGAACATGTTGAGGTGAAGAACGTGCTCCCACTGAAACCAGTACCTCTTGTTTCCTCCCAGATGGTGCAGCTTATTGCATGGGGCGTTTGAACTCTGACTGCTGGTAAGCATCGTCACAGACTTGATTGTGTCCGTGCACAGTGTTGCTGATGCTGTAGAGCCTCTCTGCTCGTGTGAGAGCAGAAGCGGCGGCAGCTAGCTGTAGCGTGTGCTGTCTCTGCCTCCTGTGCAGCCGCCACTCGGACTGGCTGAGCTGTCATGTGCTGCCGTGTCCCCACTTATCCCTGACCTGTTGCTCGTAGGTATCTGTTCACCCTGGATCTGCCAGAGTACTGGGAGAACAAGCATGCAGATCAGACGCTGGAAGTTCTGATGAGTGACCTCGATCCAGCCAATATGGACCAGTTCTTCATGAAAGATGGTGTTTCTGCAAATGAGGTCACTCGTGTAAGTATGAGTGAGCAGGAGGTGCTGGTCCCAGTGGATGGGCTGGAAACGGTGGTGATGTTTGCTGTTTCTTTCAGAGGAGTGGAATTCGTGACCTGATACCAGGTTCTGTGATCGACGCCACAATGTTCAACCCTTGTGGATACTCAATGAACGGCATGAAGACTGATGTGAGTGACGCGTGTCCTTCACCGTTGGTCCTGTGAGCTGTTGTAAACGTGCTTATGTTGCCATGTACAGGGAACTTACTGGACCATCCACATCACCCCGGAGCCAGAGTTCTCCTACGTCAGCTTTGAAACCAACCTGTCCCAAACGTCGTACGATGACCTGATCAGAAAGGTTGTGGACGTGTTTAAGCCAGGAAAATTTGTCACTACGCTTTTTGTCAATCAGGTATGTGCAGCTGGTAAAACACTCTAGTAGCTGCTCCCGTCTCTGTAGCCTGAAGCGGTCGGTATTCATCGTGCCTTCTTCCCACAGAGCTCCAAATGTCGCAGTGTCTTCTCCTCTCCCACCAAACTGGAGGGCTACAAGCGTCTTGACCGCCAGTTGGCTCAGTTCAACGATTACAATTTTGTGTTCACAAGCTACACCAAGAGCCGCCAGCAGAACCAGCAGAGCTGAGGGTCCAAGATGAAGAGGAGGCGTAAAAAGAATGTTTGCTCCTTGGGGCTTGGCCCAGGGAGGTGGCCATCTTCCTCTTGCCCACTCCTCTTCTTCTGCTGTGACTGGGAGCGCCGCTGCGTGGCGGCAGCTCCCACTTTAACCTCCAGGTTGACTTGTGTGAAATGTTGTAACTGTGACTTACATCTCCTGCATGAAGGCTCTTCTCCTTGTCTCAATATTCTAGCTCACTCTTGCTGTGATCTTGAGGTGCATGTAGAGGAATTAAACGCGCTCTGTTCAAGGCTGTCCACCTGTGCCCAGTACACCGGTCCCTTCCAGTACACCGGTCCCTTCCTGCAGGTCTCCCCCCTCATCCCCCACAGACAAGGCTTCCGCCCACACTAGACCAGGGCCCTGACGTGCTCGGATCAGACGGCCTCTCAAACACCTTGCGCTCTGATTACATCCAACTTTAAACCTCCTTGTAGAAGGTTCTCAGCGAGCGTTCTACAGATGCACTTGTTCTGGTTTAACCACGTTTGCTGGAATGTGACGAGGCTGCAGTTCTTCACACTGCTTTGCAGCTGAAAACGGCAGAAAAATGAAATGTGTTGCCGTTTCACTGAATTGTACGTTTGTGCAACAAGCGAGTCGTGCGGCAAAGTTGTCAAAATCACAGAGTCCATGATGTCATCCTTCATTCTAGGCTGTGCACGTTTCATCGCCCATCTCCACCCGCACCAGGTCAACTTCACTTATCCAGCACTTTTCAAACATGACGGTTTAACAACATAAAAATAAATTCATCCACTATCGTTACCTGTTTGTTCCTTGTCGGGTCACTGGGGTCGCAGGGGTCACTGGGGTCACTGGGGCCCCATTCAGCCGTGACTGTGAGAGGCAGGACACCTGCACAGGTCCATGTCAGCACCGTGTGGAGTGTACCAGTGGTGAACTGACTGTTTCAAATGAAATCAGGATGGGGAAAACAATTAAAGGTTAAATCTATAAAGCACCAAAACCCAAGCGTGCACAGAACAAATGCAGATTAAAGTGTGTGCACGTAGTGAAGTAAACGGTGAGAATGCATGGAAACTAAACTGCAGGCTGCTCCTCTTCCACGTTTCATTAATTTCACCTGTTAATGGTCACAAAGCTCGTGCACGTGTCTAAATGTGTCTACAGTGCTCCGTAGAGCAGGGTGGGACCCCTGCAACAAAACCAGGTGCGTTCAAGACGCCCGCCCGTTGCACTTGTAGTTTGAGAACAAAACAATTTGTGGCACAGATTTCTTTGAACACGTTAAAATTTCAGGAGACCGATTCCAGAAGTGACGCAGGGACTCTGCTGATCCACGTGACTCAGGGACTCTGCTGATCCACA